CCCGCGACCGACCGCTACGACCCGGCGCGGCTGCCACCCGCCGCCCCTGACCCCGCCCCTCTCCCTCCCCCCTCAACCTGTTCTGACCCTTCCCAGGCGCGCCTGTGGCTGGCGGCCACGTCCCTCGCCCTCACAGCCTCGCGGTCTCCCGCCGTGGCCGCGCCGCCGCTGCCGCCGCCGCTGCCGCCGCCGCCCTCGCCGCCACCCGCATTGGCAGCCGGCACCGACCCGGGCCTCGCGCGGGCAGGGGCGGGCGAGCCCGTAGAGACGGGAGCGGCCGCTGCCGCGGACGCCGACGCAGGCGACGCTTCAGCCAAGCGATAGTACTGTCTTATTGGTGTCTCTGCGAGGCCTCCCTCCCGTCCGCTCTGTTCAGTACTCTATTACGTGTTCGGTCTCTTCGAGAGGGTGACTCACAGCGCCGCGCGAGAGCGAGATTGCAACTGCATACGTGAGACGACGCGATAAGGGGTGTGGGGGAGTTGTAGAGACGAAACAGGGACGTACGTGACAAAGAAAATGAAAATTTATGCGGTGGGGGGCCGACGGCACAAGCGCGCACAGACGAGCTGAACGTAAGTTCGAACACAGGGACAAGATGCGCCACGCACTCACAGACGGCCCCCCTCTCGCCTCTGCACTGTGACGATTTGTGTCGGCGCGCTCGCTCCAATACTTCCAGTTACCACCGCAGAATGGATTGGCGGGGCGCATCGCGCATCAGCCTACGCTCTACCTCCGTGCTCATGCGCCCCAGCCGTGCGCGCGCGCCACGCGCTCGAAGGCCGCCCGCGCCTCGCGCTCGGCGTAAGGGACGTGCGCCCGCACCGGGTCGAGCCGGCCGCCACCGTCGGCAAAGGCCGAGCGCACGAGGAGGAGAACGCCCTCCATCGAGAGCTCGGCGTTCCAGCCCGACGTGGTGAGCGTCTCGAGGCAGACGGAGCCGCCGACCGTCACGTGGCCGGTGTGGAACTCGAAGCGAGGCGAGACGACGCGCACAAACGGCGGCGCGGCAGGGTAGTCGCCCGAGAAGGCGACCTCGAGCTGGACCGCCTCCGACTCGCCGGTCCGGCGGGCGTGGTCGACGAGCTCGCGCGCGAGTCCGTGCCCGGCTCGGGCTGCATCGCCACGCGCCACACGTAGCAGTCTGCCTCGTCCGGAAGCTCGACGGTCCAGCCGTGCTCCGCGCGCGCCAGCTGCCGCAGCTCCTTGGTGACGCGCCGCGTGGCCACCGCCGTCGACGCAACGGCCGCGGGCCGCGCGTTCCGACTCGGCACTGCCCGCGCCGGGTTGGAGCCGGCGCTGCTGGCCGCGCGGCTCGAAGCGGCGCGCCAGCGGGAGTGGGCCGCGTCCGCCTCGGCCCGCTTGGCGGTGGCGCACGCCTTGAGCTCCTCGACGGTGCCGTCGAAGGGGCGCTTCGAGACGGCGCGGCTGGCCATCGTGCCAGAGGCTGGCTGCTGGGCCGGTTGGACGGAGGGTGGGAGCCGCAGCGTCATGAAAAAGCGTCCGCTCTGGCGCTGCTCCACCTTCAAAATGTTCACGCCGGCCGAGTCGGCGCCGGCGGCGTAGTAGTGGCTACGAAATCGGGAGCCGTTGGCGAAGCCGGTGGCAGTCTTGGCCAGCCTCTCGTCGCTGATGAGCTGCTCAAAGGAGACGTCAGCCCCATCGGGCGGAGGGTGGTCCTGCATGTTCTTCTGGCACTGCTTGCCGTACCTGAGTAGAGACGGAAGACTGGCCAGCCTGGCGTCCTTGTCGCGGTCAAAGGCAAAGACGTCGACCCAGGACAAGCGCGTGTTCGACCAGGTCTGGACCAAGATGCGGTCAGCCATCGCAGGTGAGCCCAAGCCCCCGTCGCTGCTGCCGCCAGCGTCAACCTCGACGCCCTCGACGCCCGGGAACATGACCTGGATGAGGCTGGGCTCGAGGCGGTACTTGCGCAGGTAGAAGGAGAGGCTGTGCGCCCAGCTCGAGGTGGAGGCCGCGTCTGAGGCGATTGCTGCCTGGTACGCCGCTGCGGCTGCGTCAAGATCCTCGCGGATGAGGAGCTGGCAGACGCGCGCGAAGCTCTCTGCCGCGCTCGCCTGCTTCTCCGCCACCGCGGCGGCATCGCTCGCGGCCTTGGCCTTCCGCATCAAGGCGTTCACGACGCTCGTGGCCTGGCCCATCGCCTCCTCGCCCGGCCTGAGGGTGAGCACGCCGATCGGGAGCTGGTGGTCTGCCTGCGGGACGACGACGATGGGCGAGGAGCCGCCAAAGTCCTCGCGCGCGAACGCGGGCACGCCGTCGTTGCGCGGGTCGATGAGCACGGCGAAGATGAGCATGCGTGTCGGTCCTGCTCCCTGCCGGAGCCCGCCGTGGCGCTGGCAGTAGGAGAGGGAGATGAGCGGGTCGCGCGCGAAGTACTCGCCGGGACCGAGCGACTGCCCGTGCTGGCCGCGCCGTGCGGGATCGAGGCCATTCTCGGAGATGGCGTCCACGTTGCAGTCAGCGGTGCCGTGGAAGACGACCTCCACCTCGAGCGACGGGTTGCGCCGGCATGCGGCGACGAAGGCCGCGTGCAGCGAGGAGCCAGCAGCGTAGAGGGGGTTGATGCTAACCGCAACGCCGTTCTTCTGCCGCTCCTCGTCGTCGACACCCTCGGCCGTAGATGAGGCCAGCCTCGCGGAGAAAGACTCCTCGAGCAGGGAGGCGAGGACGGGCTCCAAGGGGTCGTCGCGTGTGGCCGAGAGCAGATCCGCCGCAGGCGCATGGTAGGAGCGCTCGGCTGGGCTGAGGCCTCGAAAGGGGCGGCTTGGTCGGAACGCGAAGGGAGCACGCCCGGGAGGCACGCCAGGTGGAGGCGGTGGCCGCAAAGGCGGAGGCGGCCAAAGCGCTGGCACTGGGCGTGCTCCGGGAGGCACGCCAAGCACTGGCACTGGGCCAGGCGCGAGGCCGTACTTCCTTCCGAGGTAGGTGTGCGCTTGCCCTCCGTGATATCGGTAGGCAGCCAGCACCGTCCTGATATCAGCATCCGCGATCGAGGACGGTAGCCGGAGGCGGAGGTTGCGGAAGACGCGTTCGTTGCGCTGTGCGTCCATAGAGAGGACAGTCGCGCAACTCGCTGCAAGTCCAGGGTTCCGGCTCCTACAGTGGGTTGCGGGCATTAAGAAAACGTGGCGAGAAGAAACCCTACCAAGAGATTTCCGCAAAATTCTAAGAAACCACGGCGCGCCGCAGGCGCGGCCCCGAGAAAAGGCCAGACACGAGTCTCGAGTGTGAACGGGAGCCCCAGCTCAAAATTTCTCTTCGCCTGCGGCGCGCGCACTTGTCACTTTCCAAGTCTACGGTGTTCTGAGTGGAGTGGAGATGGAGGCGTGTGTGCGTCTTCCCGTCATCCAGAGAGCCGACTCGGCGGCAGACTCTGGCATCGCCCTCGCGGACCGCAGCTTACCTCTTACCTAAAATCCTTAGGGGGCCGGCTCTGGCCTGAGTGCCGGCCGGAGCTAAGAAACCACGGCGTGGGGTGGGTGAGGGCTGTGGAAAGGCTTAGAAACGGCGGCGTGCCGCCAAATCCTGTTTTCTTAATGCCCGCAACCCACTGTAGCCGGTGCGGATAGGGGGTCTGTTCCCACTGACTCGCCAAAACGCCCTACCTACCTACCTACCCCCAGGCCGCGCAGCGAAGCGAAAAAAGATGAAAACAGCGGGTACCTACCTATTGCAGAGCCCTTTTGGGCGAAACAAGACCAACCTACCTACCTATCTGGGAGGGGCCAGCCAGTGGGAACAGACCCCCATCCGGCTAGGAGCCGGAACCCAGGGAGGGGGCCCCATAAAAGACGGTGGAGGTTCCGCAAGCAGAGCGCGAGCCGCGGACAAAGGCAGAACAGAAAGCGACCCCGCGTGACACAATCGAGGGAAGAAACTCATGTGAGACAGAGAGTCACGCGGGACAGGAGAGTAAAGTGCCAAAGGGGGCACTACAGAGAGCAGTTACTATCTCCGCATTCCAACGCCCCCCCCAGGTCGGTATGACCTGAGAAGATGTGGAGATGGGACGAGCATGCAAAGTCTGCCGCGCCTAATGCTTACGCGGACGTGGGGCAATTCTCCCCGATCAGACTGGACTCCCCCGAGGGGAAGGTTCTACTCGTGCGAGATGTTCATGATCGAGTCCGCGCAGCGAGAAGAAGGAGGACGGCTTGAGGTCGCCCTTGACGGCCTCACTAGAGCCGCTTTTTGTGCGGCCCGAGCTCCGTCTTGGACGCCTTCTTGTAGCAGCTCGCGCCGCCGACGGGCAGCGTCGAGAGGATGGGGGCCTTGAAGAGCTTGCAGCGGGACGCCTTGCCTTCGACGGCGTACTCGAACCCTGCGCGGGCCGAGGCGCGGTGTGTGTTGCGAACCAAGGGGGGGGGGGGTTTGGGGAGGGGGGGGGGAGGCGCACACCGGTGCAGCCGAGGGTGTAGAGACACCTGTCGTGGCACCCCATGTGCCCGAGCTCGATACCCCAAAGCTCGTCAAAGTTGCCCTTGTTCTTTTCGTCCGTGCGGCAGACGCCTGTGCGGCAGGGCGCGTGTGGCGGCGAGGCTAGGACATTGGGGATAGGGGTGTGTGTGGTGGTGGTGGGGGGGCGGGGGGGGCACCCGAAGCGCTTAGGAGTTGGAAGTACGGGTGGTTAATCGCAAGGTGCGTCGCAATCGAGCTGGCAGACGGCGGCGGCGACGGCGACGGCGAGGCGGAGGGAGGCGGCGGCGGCGACGACGCGGAGGGAGGCGGCGGCGACGACGGCGACGCGGACGGAGGCGGCGGGGACGGCGGCGATGGTGTGCAGCCAGTGCCCGTGTTCGGGGTGGCCTGGAACGTGCAAGATTCCGGGCACAGGACCGTAAGGTAAAGTTCACCTGGTAGTAAGTTTGCGCCCCCTTGAGGGCAGTCATCTGAACATGTAGACAATGCCACATTGTCTACAAGATAATCTTCGGCAGTATAATTGTGCAAGCCGGCACAAGACACCGGGCAGATGTAGCGAAAGGTCTCTGAGTCCTCACACCAGGTTGGGCCTGTCGCTGGCTCTGCTGAGCATGGCTCAGCGTCATTGGGGTCCAGGCAATTGCAGCTTTCGCAGCACCACGTGCCATTTGTTGTCGAGGTTATCTCTGGGCATATTGTCTGGTGTGTGTGGCCAGACGCGGGAGAGCATGGCTCAGCGTCATTGGGGTCCAGGCAATTGCAGCGGTCGCAGCACCACGTGCCATTTGTTGTTCTTGTAATGTCTGGGCACGTTCTTTGGGTGTTGATTGGCGTGTTTGCCACATCTGAGCACGTGCAAGCGGGGGGGTCGACGA